ATCAACCATTTCGCCTCCAACGAAAGGCGACTGCCACGGCTGGGATTGAACCCGCGCCATTCTGGTGAGGGGCAAAGCATCGCATAGCCACTAAACTACCGGGGTGGACCCTTTTATTACAAGTTCAAAATCGTCCCGCTCGAATAAAAAAAGCACAATCGCATTTATGTCGTCAGCAGATAACCATTCAAAGTGAAGAGACAAAGAGGCCTAGTCTAATTGTTCCGTGATATTTTTATCTGCGAGCTGAACTGCGCCCTTATCAGTCAGAGAAACAGGTTCATATTTGGCGCATGCAAGATTTTTGACGTCTTTGGTGCAACTTCGACAATGTTCAAGCCTATCGATTCTACGGAAGCCGAATAAGTTAGCACTTCTAAGTATATTTTTATTTTAGCTTATTAGGCACCGCATGAGAACAGAATATAAACGTACGGAATCAGCAGCATTGCTTGAAAGTTTGTTTAGCGGTAGTGGCCCACGAAATGGCGACGTATGTTGCTCAGCGATTTCCGGCATGTCAGTGCGGGGCTGATCGCATTTCACTTCCGAAGCCGTGGCTTAGCGAAGGCACGTGAGTCGCATTGCGACGGAACACAACGCTTCGTTGTCCAGATTGTCCTAATGCGCCATTGCGTAGCCTCGCCGTCTTGTGCACACCATAGGGTGAGATATAAAGTACTATGTTTCATCTTTAACCCGTCGCCACGCACAACGCCTCGTTTTGTTTAACGTGTATACGAACGGCCGAAGGCTGCATGTACACCATCGTACGACCATGCTGCGAAATATTTCCACACTCCTTTTTCTCGAATACTCTAGTGCACTTACAACGAATGACCTTGGTTTAAAGAAACGTTTCTTTCAGCCCTTAAAACATAGTGGGAATAGATAAAACTACTTTTCTAGTCGAATGATTTCGTATAGGACTTACGTGTTTGGAAGTGCCATTGTAATTGTACGGAGAAGGCTTTTCTTGAGATCAGGAATGAGTTTGAAAAGCACAGTCACCTTCGCGTTATCAACACCCCGTTAAGATTGAGTGTCATTGACAATTTACTATATCACAGAGAGCCGCCCCGATGCCAATAGACTTTGTGCACGTGTTTGCCTGATTAAGAAAGCCTGCAGAGAATTGAAGTTGCAGTGATTTTAGAACAGATTCTTCTGTTCGTTCGCTAAGACCATAAGAGAAGTCACATATGTTGCGCTTCCTTCAGAGCTGAAACGGAAGCTGCCGCTGTGGGCTTTATTCTTAGCAGTAGCGGAGTGTATCAAATTTTTTACACGAAACTGTTTGCAGTATGGTCCACCAAGACTTCACTGACATTATTTAGGTAACGGAAGTGATGTCTGTAAAGTGTACCTGAACAAACAACCAAAAACAATTCTAGAATCATACAGTGTTTCAATTATTTTAAATATCTGGGAATCAAACCCACGACCTCTTTGTCTGCCTCGACAGGCCCCCAGAGATATTGTGTATGTGCCCAACGCACATACACAATGCCTTACAAGCGCTCTCACACACCTCCCTCTCACAGCATCGTTCGTGGGGTGGGGTGTCCGTCTAGAAACGGCGAAGTACTGCATCTACACCTACGTCCACGCATTGTCCTTTAGCAAGAACAAGGCATTTGACACTGTCAGCCACGTAATATATTTAAGTACGTTAGAACTTGAGATGTGCGGCTGACTTGTGCGATTAATATCAAAGCTTTGTCAGATCCCCAGATATTCATTGATATGACCGAACTTTTTCTATAGACGACGACGTGGTTGATCTAGCAAAATATGTGTTATCTGGTATAACATTATTTATTCAGGGTATGTTTTAAGTTGAACGGGGGGGGGGGGGGGCAAGATATCACCGAGTTTAAATGATTCTGGCAGAGGGTAGAAATATTCCTAGTAGAGAGCTTTAGTAGCTCCTTGTTTGGCCTTTGCTGTGCTTCAATGAAAGCGAAAAAGATTACCTATGAGCGGCTGCTGCCGTACTGCATGCTGCTGTCGGTAGCAGGGGTATCCTAGAAGGCACAACTCAAAGTGTTCTCTTTGCGGGGTAAAAAGCCCAAAGGCGTCTGCAATAGTGATTCTTGGAACTTCACGTGCTTCAGGCTCAGCTTCGATGATGTCTGGTAGTCGAGTTTCTCAAGCCATCTTCTGTTTTTTTCGAGCAACGATTTACTGCTGTTCCGTAGTCAGGATACTTTCAGTAAAATGAATCTTGTCTGATTCTGCTTTGCCCATCGACAAATATGGCTTGCTTTTGAACTTCGGCATGTCGTCAGACTATACCGCATTGAATCGGTTTCTATCCTGTCGGCTGCGTCAATGTAACATTCATGTACTCCCACCTATACGAAACTGTTTCATTTTTTTGGCCCTCATTTCCCAGTTGCAGCATTTAATCACCTTCTTTGGCTCTTTAACACTCATGACCATATATGAAACTTACTGATCATATTTTTAAGCTTGTGCCATTGCCAATTTCTATAACACAGGGAGCGGCCCCGCTGTCAATAAACTGTGTGCACGTGCTTGCATAATTAAGAGAGCCTGCATAGGATTGGAGGTGGCAGTGATTTTGGGACAGATTCTTCTGTTCTTTCGCTAAGACCATAAGAGGAGTCGCATAGGTTGCGCTTCCTCCTGAGCTCAAATGGAAGCCACCGCCGTCGGCTTCAATCTTAAAACTAGTGGGGTGTATCAAATTTTTTACATGAAGTTGTTATACAATATGGTGATTGAGAGACCGCAACTGGTGATCGTGCGTCAACTGCACGATCACCAGTTGCAGTCTCTCAATGTGTAAAAAAGGCGAACATTTGACACCAACCTCACCCTATGCAAATTATTCTCTAGGTTCTCACGAGACCAGAAACGTTACAGGGGCTCTTGCTTATCTCTAAGGCTGAGCGTGAACTCAGCTTAAGAGATATGCTGAGTGCATATCTTTAAGTGTCAAGCATAACGTCAAGCATAACCTCAAGCACATAAAAAGTTTCACAGATACATATAAAAAAAACGGAAGTCGGCCGCTTGCGAATTGCGTTAATGAATGAGGAGGTGAGAAAATCGCCCAAAAATACCATTCCCCAAGATATCGCGAAATCTTGTGGCGTTTGAAAAGTCGTATGAAAAGCATTGTTCATAAAAAAAATTACCCTGTTTCTGCATGCTTCACTGCAAATGTCATCGAAAGGCGATAGTCTTGCCTTTGTAGAGAGTGAACAAAACGTTTATTTGATGTTCTGGGCAAAAAAGTCGGTGAATTGTATTTTGGAGGCGCTGCGTTAAGGAGTCTTGATCCGTGCAGCGAAGGCGAACGAACGCATCGAGGCACGTTAGAAACGAGCGCCATTTGGCAGTTACGTTCGAAAACGAAGGAAGGCGCGCGCGCCTGTATGGGAGGCGATAAAGAGTAGAACGCAAAGCGATGGGCAGGTGCCTCCACGATGTCGTCTTAGCAAAGCGTTGGAAACACTTGCCTTTTTGAGCATCGCGTTGCATTGTCAGCGCTAGGTGATAAACGCTATCGTCCTTATAATTACTTATGCGTGCCTTTTTAGTAAGACACACACATACAGAACATTGAGGTGTTGTTATGGTGCCTCAAATATGCGCAATAATTGCTTTTCAATTGACAATCGCACAAGGATGATTGCTGAAGCTTGAGCAATGTTGGTGGGTGCTGCGGATGGGGTTGGCCGTTTGGGGTATTGTTTAGGGCCGTTTGGGGTATGTTACGGTGTACACACAGATAAACAAATGAACAGACAGTCAGACAGACAAAAATTTTGCGTTTAAGTAACCCAAAAAAGACTATCGATTTTAAAATTTTCCCAGCATATCCATGGCGTAAATGATGATGAGTGGGCGAAGCTCCGGAGGTTCATCGTTAAAACAGTGTATCTTATGTGAATCTTGCCCAGTGCATGATCAAAGATGGCCGTCCAATCGTCTGTCTGTCTGTCTGTCTCCCACGCATCGATGTGGAGCGATCGCCACAGCGTATTCGCCATCTCGTGAGCACTGTCCCCAGAAAATTCCTCTGCTGTCCCGGAAGCTGGTACATTTTGGGCGTTTTAGGTGATTAATTCAAATATTACCTGGTAGAAGTCGTTGTGGTCACATTTTTTGTGTTATTCTCACGGTCATCTATCGCTACACGGAGGAAAATCGCAGAAGCCGTAGGGGCTGGCGAATAAGAATGATAGTGAGAAGACCTCGAGAGAGAGCGGCCAGTTACGCTTATAATAAGCGGATTTGGGCTTTACCTTCGCCGAGTCACTTTAAGAATTTTCTAGACGTGTGTCGCATTTTTTTAGACTCATTTGGATATTCCAAGTCGATATAGTCATTTCTTGTCATCGCGTTCACTACTTATATGTTTGTCGATTACTTTGAGTAGTTGGGTGTATTGAGTGTACAGGGTTTTTCATCAAAGTATCAAGAAGGGCGAAGGTTTATCGCAACAACACCCACCCCCCTATTCAACTGTCCTATTGAGACAATGTATGGGGCCAATTTTGCCACGCCCCAACACACCCCGGCTCGTTCCCACACCCGTGTATGAGTGTCAAAGTCAAACATACGTTTGGATAATCAACCAGCAACACTAATCCTGCGCTGGCAAACATGCCTCCAGCCAGATGGAGATTGCCCATGAAGAAAAATTTAAAATTAGGTATGTGGTCTCGTTTGTCGCGCATATTTTGACGCTACGTAACATTGAAGTGTTACTTTTTGTAGCTCAACTCAATGCTGGAGTGAAATTTTTTTAAATATAAGTGAAGATATTTTCAGGAATGGGAAAATTTATGGCATTTTCGCTTCTTTTGGGCTTCTTTTGTGAGGTGTCTTTGCTAGTTTTTTCGGTAAAATGTGGCAACACTGCCACAAGAACGAGGCACTCACGCTATCGCCTTCTACTCTCGGAGGCGGATGTCGAAAAGGTTGTGCTTCTTTTCTCACGATGAATGCCCTTACATTCGCAGGTTCTGCCACGAGGTCTATGACGCTAATTACAAGGCGACCATCGGCGTCGACTTCGAAGTGGAGAAGTTCAGCATCCTCCACGTGCCATTCAGCCTACAAATGTGAGTGGAATGGTCGATATTTGAGAGCGTTGTCTGTTGACCTACCAAATGCGAAAACCGTTTGCGTAGTGTTGCGTGGATAGAACGACAGGCCGAGCTAAATAAGCGTGTGAATAAGCAGCACGGCCAGCGGTCCAGATGAGAGTGGTAATTGTTTGATGCTCAACACGCACTTTCCTAAGTTTTTGAAGGGTACTTTTTAGTGGCGCGAACATCGAATGAAACTGTTGATTGTCTTCAAGTACTTCATCAAAGCGTTCGCTTCAGGTTTTCCGAATATTCCGAAAGTGCGTATCAATAAACAAACAAGAATCGTGGTATTGGTTCAGTTAATGTTAGATGTTAGCCTCCAGAAATAATACTGTAAACAATCCAAGCAGTTACTCAAAAGAACCCATGCTTTTGTTTGTGTGTGTGTGTTAGCAGCTCAGAGAAGCTGAGGTCGTTGCAGCATCTAGAAAAGTTTATACCAAGCACTCGCTTTATCCTACTTGAGATTGGTTTCGTAAGCGCGCGAATTATAAAGTCCAATCCAAGGCATTCACGAGCGCGCACGAACGCCAACGTGCCAGTGCTATTGTATACCAGTCACCAGTCTCATAGAATTGGGTCCCCTTTTGGCAGTTCTGAAAACTGCTTTTGTAGAATTCAGACATGCAGACATCACTCGGTATTCGGTGTGGCTAGCCATGCTGTCCACGCATTCTGTAACATTATTATTGACAGTCGC